CAATAGATCTAATAAGTTTAGATCATTATATTATTAAAATATATAGTTCAGTAACTTTAGAAAATAGATCTATAATTCGAGCAACAGATAATTTTTATGAAAAAGCTTGGTATAGTAATGTAGCAGTTGCTATGAATTCTGAAGAACTATTTGAATATTTATCAGATCAAGGAATTTGTTATGGTTTGATCATGAATAAAAAATAGAAGAAATATCTAAGCTAGGTAAAATAAATTAATGCATATCTTATAGAAGCTCTATTCATATTCAAAAAGCAGAAAATATAGGTAATAGTAGTGTATATACTACATAATGATCAAAAATTCAGGAAAGATATACAACAACAGGTTATAAAAAGAATTTATAACTATCAAAGAAAACTCTAAATAAATACAAAAACTCTTTCTGCTAAATTAGCTTAGCAACTCAGATATAATAGATATATTCAGAAAATTATACTTATATAAAGAAATTCACAAAATCAAGTGACCAGATCAAGTCTAGAATTGATTATATATAGGTTTCAAAAGACCTGAAATAAGATCTAATAAGTTGCAAAATAACTAAGGCAGATGCAATTATGAATAGTGATTATACTATAGTAAGTGTAATAATAGCAACAAAAATAATAAAAAGGTCTAGAATAGTAGTTTTTGATAAAAGGGTAAAAGGTAAGAAGTGGGTATACAATCTAAACAAAGCCACAGAAAAAAATTAGAAGGATTACAAAGCTAAGCTAGATAATATGCTCAAAGAAAAACTAGGCAATAAAAGGAAAAAAAAAAGAAAGATAACTCGAATAGCCTAGAAATATTAAACAAAGATAAATTATAGAACTTGATATCAACTAGTATTATAAAGTTTATAAGAGCAACTTTGCTAGATAAGAAAGTTGCACTTGAGAGAACTAAAACAAGAAAGAAAAAGAGTATCAGTAATAACATCAAAAAAGATCTAAAAATAATTAAAAAAATATGTCAGCAATATGCAGTAGGAATTAGTCAGAAAATTAATAATTCAACTCAAACTAACATCAATTTATAGATAACCAATCTTAATAATATACACAAAACTAAAATAGAAGAGCTCTCTAAAAATGTATAGTCTAAAAGAAGACTCAAAAATCTCAAGACTTAGTAGAAGATTTTATATAAAAAAGTACAACAAGCAAAGAAAAAAAAAAGCCTAAAAAAACTCTTTTTGGTTTACTATTAGAAACTAATAAACTACTAAAATTTTATTAAAAATCTCTACAAAACTCTTACAAAAATTAGAAAAAAATGCACCTGCTCTAACTACAAGAAAAAGAAAACCTTTGTTTCTAACTATAAGTAGTTCATTAACAAAAAGATCTAAGATAATAGATACAAGAACCAAAAAAAGATTTTTGACTTGTTTTTGCCAACTGAAGAAAACTAAGAAGCAGATAACAACACTCCTGAAGAAACTCATAGAGAAAACTAAAGCTCTTCTAAAACAAATGAGCAAAGAGAAGAAAACATGCAAGCTAACTTAGAAGACTCTCTTTTGAAGAAAAAAAGAAAAAAACAAAGAAATTTCTTTCATGAAAAATAATAAAGAAAATAAAATATATGAGATAAAAAGAAATCTAAAAAACAAACAAAAATACATAAACACTATACATGATTTGTCAAACATAACAAATACAAATAAACTTAACAAAGAATCAGATGATCAACAACTCGATCAAGCAAAAAGTAATCCTACTAAAGGTAGACAATAGTCTGACTTATTCTCTAAACTGAAAAGTAGCAAAGCCACATTTGTCAGTGCTAACCCAAGATATAGAATTCATTCCAAGAATAAGAACACTTTAATCTTTGATATTCAAAACCTTCTAAATATCTCAACTAATGATATTATTCTAGCTTTTGCTACAAAATTAAGTAATAATTTACTTGTTACAAAAACCTACTTATTTAGAAGGAAATACATATATCTTGAAGTAGTCTTTGCTAGCAAAGAGGTTTAACAGAGATTTATAACAGAGAGAATTGATGTCTTCAACCAAACTCTTTTTAGTTATATTCTAATTAACTTTAAACCTAGCTTTTTCTTAGTAAAGCTGAGAAATATGTCTATAGAAGATAATATTTCTATTAATAATTTAGTTAAAGATACTTTTCAAGATATAAGCATAATTATCTTTATAAAACTATTAATATACAAAGGAACAACAGTTTGCTCAGACTAATAGATAATTACCTTTGAGACAACTGATGATCCTGACCTTGTATAAAGAATACCAAAACAGACCCATATTGGTGACTATAAAATTACAACTAACTGAGAAGAAGTACCTAAAGTTTGCTATTTTGTAAAAAATAGATCATATCAAAAAAGACTATGAAGAATTCCAATTCTCAGTAGATCAAAAACAAAAACAAAAAGAATTAAAAAGATTAAAAGAAAGTAAGCCTGAAAACTAAACTAATGCTAATATTCAATCTAGCTTTAGCTCAAACAATCCTTATGTCACTGATATAGCTATCAAAAAGTCTAATAGCTTAGCTAGACTGGATACTATACCTATATCTTCTAATTTATAAACAGATAAGGTTTAACCTACAAACCCAAAGAATAATCTTAATAGATCACTAACATTAAACAACAATATTATTCCTATTCTGAACTAAGATTTAGATAGAGAAATGAAAATAGAAACAGATTCTTCAAGCATAGTTACTATAACCTCTAAACTTAAAGAAAATATATCTAATACTGAGAAGGCAGAAACTATATCTGTGTTAACAAAGAAGAAAAAAGAAAATAAAAGAAAGCTTCAAACAATGGAATCTAACTAGCAAAAACTAAAACCATTTCAAAAGAAGCTTCTCACTCACAAGATTAATAGCAATATCTACTATACATATGGTTAATAGCTTTATTAATATCTTAATCTTTCTATATGATTAAAATCACTACACTAAATTTTAAAGGCCTTAACAATAATGTTAAAGTCTAAAAAACTTTAATACTATTAAAATCCTACAAACTAGATCTAATACTACTTCAAAAAACAAACCTTAATGACTTAGCAACAAAAAAATTTCTTTTCTAAGTTAGCAAACTAAATATAAAATTTAATAACAAAAAAATTACTCATAATAACTAAGTAATTACAGTTAGCTTCTTTTTTAAACAACAACAATTTATAGCTACAAATATTTATGCACCTCTAAGCTAGGAACAAAGATATTAATTCTTCAACAATTAGGCTCTAATAGCAAATGATAATGCTCTATATATAGTAGCAGGTGACTTTAATACAAATCTTAATTCAGAAATCAACTGCATAAGCCAAGTACTTCTACATCATGATAAATCAAGAGACCAACTTAAAGAATTAATTAAGGATTTTATTAATACTGCTGATTTTACGAAGAATAATCCCTTCATTATCTTCTACCAAAATACACAAAACAACTAACGAATAGCAATATATTTGAATTATATATTTGTTAATACAAGTTTTAGACAACTTAACTTTGAAATCTTAACTTGATATGGAAATTCTAACTATCTCCTAGTAGAAAGCAGAATTAGCTTTAGACCTACTCACAAATCTATAGCCTATTAGAAATTTGACAAGAAATGCTAGTCTAACAATATGTTAAAAACTGAAATTCTGATAGAAATTAAGAATATCAGTAATATCAAAGA